CACTCAAATAATTGCCCCAAAAAGACCATTTAATGCAATTTTAACACATTTTTCCAACAAATATATTTAACACAGTGATGGATTTCAAAGGCTAAACTAAAGACGGTCTTGCATCTCGAAAAGATATGACTATTTGGTGTGATAGGCCCGAACTGTCTGTTGATCTACAATATCAGGGTAACAATATTCCAAAAGCAGTCTACCAAGTCACACAAGCACAAAAGGAATCAATATTACAATGGCTTGTGTCTCTGAAGTTTCCAGATGGCTACTGCTCCAACTTGTCCAGATGCGTGGACATGGACAAACTTGCAACGATGTCGAGCATGAAAACTCACGATTGTCATGTAATCATGCAAAGACTTCTCCCAATTGGACTGAAAGAGATGCTTCCTGAACACGTATGGTCCTGCATTACTGAGATCAGTTTGTTGTTTCAGTCGATATGCTCAAGCGTTTTGGATGATGCATCCCTCCGTAGACTAGAAGAGTCTGTTCCCATGCTGATGTGTAATTTGGAAAAGACAATGCCTCCATCATTTTTCGATGGAATGGAACATCTTGTAATACATCTTCCGTATGAGGCTTTAAATGGAGGACCCGTCTTCTATCGCTGGATGTACAGATTTGAAATGTTAGTCACAATTTCATTTATCTTTGAATATTTATTTCATAACAACATTAATCTGTGTACCACTTTTATTTTACACTGCAGATTTCTTGGAGAGTTGAAAAAGAAAGTGACCAACAAGGCACACGTTGAGGCTTCAATTTGTCAAGCGTATCTTCAACAAGAAATCTCAACGTTCTCATCTTTTTATTTTGAGCGTGAAGTCATCACTAGAAGAAAGTGACCTGCCCGAAACGATGACATTGTCGAGGATTTATACGAAAATGTAGTTTCCATTTTCAATTACCCAGGTAGAGGTAAAGGATTTTGGACAAACCGATACATCGTGGGAAAAGAATTACAAATTGCGCATACTTATATGCTCATTAATTGTCCAGAAATCTTACCGTTTAATCAGTAAGTTAAATTTGTAGTTATCTTTGTAATATATATACAATTAAGGTAGTTGATTTATAATATTTTCATGTTTGACTTCACAGTGAATTTAGAGCGGAGCACTCAGCATTCCCTGACAATGAAATTGATGCATTGGTGGACTCTCATTTTATACCGTGGTACAAGTATCAGGTATATATACATACACACACATTAATTATATATATTATTAAGTAATAATTTTTAATAATTACCCAATGTTATCATGTTTTAATTTACAGATCAATAACTGTGGGATTGTGGACCCTTTGTTAGTATCATTATCGTGGGGCCCTGGTGCCAACGCCAAAGTTAAATTTGTAGTTATCTTTGTAATATATATACAATTAAGGTAGTTGATTTATAATATTTTCATGTTTGACTTCACAGTGAATTTAGAGCGGAGCACTCAACATTCCCTGACAATGAAATTGATGCATTGGAGGACTCTCGTTTTATACCGTGGTACAAGTATCAGGTATATATACATACACACACATTAATTATATATATTATTAAGTAATAATTTTTAATAATTACCCAATGTTATCATGTTTTAATTTACAGATCGATAACCATGGGATTGTGCACCCTTTGTTAGTATCATTATCGTGGGGCCTTGGTGTCAACACCAAAGTTTGGCGGTCATATGTGATAAACGGTTACACCTATCACACAGTCGGTTACGGACAGGGCCGACCAACAGTGAACAGCGGGTTATGTGTCCCAACCATCAGTTATGATAACTCGGAAACCAATTTTTTTGGTGTCTTGCACGAGATTCTCGATCTGGAAATGCCTTCTGCTGGGAAAAAGTTGACATGCGTTTTGTTCCGCTGCAAATGGATCGATCCAACACGTGGTGTGCGAAAAAATTCAAAGTATAATATGATTGACGTCAACCACGCTCGCGTGTATACAAAAGATGAGCCTTTTATACTTGCTCAACAAGCAGCCCAGATTTATTATGCAGAATACCCTTCAACCAAGCGGACACAGAATCCTTGGGTGTGTGCATGTATTGTCCGTCCGAGCAAAACTGTATCAGAAACTCAACACAAGGACGTTGATTTAGATGCTTTTCAGCAACATTTTTTCCAACCTCCGCCGATTGTTGAGACGGTCAACCAACACATTCAGCTAAGTGATCCAAATGGGGGAAGTGTTGAAGTCATGCCAGAAACGCACCTTCCGGACCTAACAACTCCATCTGAGCGCAAAATTGTTGAAATGCATGAAGAACAACAAAATGCTCAATATCAGGAAGGAGAATGGATAGACGGTTCTGATACAGAAGAAGATGTTGTATACGTAGAAAATAATGATTCTGATAGTGAGTAATTGTATTGTTGTATTACAATTTTTTTGAGTTCGAATATTTGTGCTATTTTCTTCATTATTATTGTAGTCCAACAATATTTGATTTTTTTCTTCATCATTATTAAAAGATAAGTACGAAACGCACAATTTTTTTATCACAATCAACTAACGAAACATTAATCATTTATCATAATAAGCAAACAAACAAATACAAAATTATTCATCAATATCAAAACTTTCAAGAAGCCTAGCCAACAACTCGTTAATTTTCCTTTCAGCTTCTTCGTTGATCGGATCCATATACTCTGAACATTCTTCTGCACGTTGAAGCATCCGACACAAGTTGTTTGATTTGACTTGCCGAGTGAGTCGGATTCCTCATCTTTATAGTCGCCAAAACTTTCAAGGGGTCTAGCCATCAACTCCCTGATTCTCTGATATGCTTCAACGGTTTTCGGCTCCATAAGCTGTGTAATTAGCTTGAGTCGTTTCATAGCTCTACACATCGAATCCCAGCCAATTGGTTCTCGATTAGCCATTTTATTTTCCACACAAACATTATTGGACCGGGCATCACCTATTTATACCAAAAAATCGAATATAATTTTCTGAATTTATTCCCCACTATCGTCGGCCTGCCCGAGGATCTGACAAAACGCCTGGAAAGTAATTAGTCACGGACGGTCCGTGACTAGGGCCGTGACTAATTCAAATTTTTGAATTAGTCACGACCCTAGTCACGGACCGTCCGTGACTAAGGCGGTCAAAGGCGGCCCTGACACCTCGTCTTCCGCGTGTCTGACTTCGTTAATTACGACGGCTAATCACGGATATATCCGTGACTACGTTCGTGACTACTTCCTGATATAAATTCAACACTCTTCTACACTCCGCCGAGCTCAACCTCCAACGCCGCCTTCCACCGTCCGCTGCCGCCGTCCGCTGCATCCGTCTCCTGCCGCCGTCCGCTGCATCCATCCGCTTCCACCGTCTACTGCCTCTGTCATTCTTCACTGTTCTTCATCAAGGTTATGTGTTCTAAATTGTATTTACTTTTAATTCGTTTTTTTAGTATTTGATTTTTATTCCAAAAATGCATGTTATGATAAGTGTGTTCCCATTATTCTCAAATTGTGTAATATAATTTAGTTAATATGCTCAAATTGATTTATGCATGAAATGTGATTTGTTACTATAGTTTCTTTAGTGACACGTAAGGAAAGACTACGCATATGTAACTCGTGCCTACGCATATGATTTATGCTCAAATTGTGTAACTGTAGTTTCTTTAGTTTTGTATACATGTTTTGTGTAGTAATATGATTTGGAAATATAATTTGATTTAGTTTATAATATCTTTTAATTTTAGAAATACATGTTAATATAATTCAGTTTTCGAAATACTTGTTTTGTGTACATGTTATTAAATTCATTTTTGTAAACATGTTATTAAACACATGTTTTTCGAAATACATGTTAATATATAATTCAGTTTATTACATGTTCAATATGCTCAATATATATAACATGATTAGTTTGTATATATGCTTAATTGGCAAGCCTATATTTGTTGTATATAAGTTTAATTAATATGTATGCCTAAATAAGATTTAATTGTAGGTTAAAGAACAGGCATGATTAAACTTTATTTTTTTTTTATTTCGGACTTATGATTTTGGAAGTTTTTAGTACATTATATGAATCAATATTATTTTTGAATAGATATAGTTTCCATTATTTTCTTGAATTAATTAAAGAAATACCCCCTCATGTTATATTTGTTGTGTATAAGTTTAATTAATATGTATGCCTAAATAAGATTTAATTGTAGGTTAAAGAACATGCATGATTAAACTTTTTTATTTATTTCGGACTTATGATTTTGGAAGTTTTTAGTACATTATATGCATCAATATTATTTTTGAATAGATATAGTTTCCATTATATTCTTGAATTAATTAAAGAAATACCCCCCTCATGTTAAACTTCTTGAATTAGTCACGGCCCTAGTCACAGACCGTCCGTGACTAAGGCGGTCAAAGGCGGTCAAAGGCGGCCCTGACACCTCGTCTTCTGCGTGTCTGACTTCGTTAATTACGACGGCTAGTCACGGATATATCCGTGACTACATCCGTGACTACTTCCTGATATAAATTCAACACTTAACAAATTTTTTCATTCCGAACTCTACACCCACCAAAACCCTAACTACTTATCCCTAACTCTTCTACACTCCGCCGAGCTCAACCTCCAACGCCGCCTTCCACCGTCCGCTGCCTCCGTCCGCTGCATCCGTCCGCTGCATCCGTCCGCTGCCGCCGTCCGCTGCTGCCGTCCGCTGCCACCGTCTACTGCCTCCGTCGTTCTTCACCGTTCTTCATCAAGGTTATGTGTTCTAAATTTTATTTACTTTTAATTCGTTTTTTTATGTGAAAGACTTTAGAATAGAATATACTTTATAATATGCTTTAGAATATTCTTCTATCTTTAGAATATGCTTTAGAATATTTTAGGAATATACTCTAGGATATTATTATTGTATAGAATCTTATAGGAATATTCTATTTTTGTAATGTATATATAGGGACTTAACCCTCCAATGAAATACACAGAAAATCCTTCTCTCCATTCTTAATATCATTGTAGTTTATATTTCAACATGGTATAAGAGCCTTCCATTTTAGTTTAGTTTTTCAGATTTGAGTTTGATTTTAGACTGAATTCTCAAGAACCTGAGTTCAGTCTTTAGATTATTCAGAACATTCAGACACTGGTCTGTCTCCAAATTCTTCTTCAGGGTTTTCAGTTTTCAGATTCTTCAGGAACTTGTGTTCAGTTTTTCAGATTCTTCAGAACCTCAAGACAGATCCTCTACAGAACCTCTATTCAGAACCTTTCAGAACCTTAGTACAGTCCAAATCCCCCATCTCCTCCAGACCCGACCATATTCCAGGCGAGCTTCAGTCAATTACCTATCTCGCCTCTATTCTGATGCGTTGCCATCAGATCAATAGATCACCAGCTAATCTGATTGTGCTCCAACGTCGCCGGCCGTTCATAAATATCGCCTCGACTTCCCGACGCAGTTGAGCTTGGACCATCTCAGCCTCACCAGCTAGCTCTGCCATCGCCTCTACCCCAGGTATACTTTTCTTCTCTTTTGTTCTTTCTTTAGAAAGGGAAGATAGTGAGAGGAGGTCTGGTGGTTGGTCGATCGCTGGGTCTCGCATATCTCCAGACATCCGTTCCTGCTGGGGTCGTTCGTAGGTGATTGTTTGTAGGGGAGAGCACGGGTCGGGTTCGGGCGGGTCGGGTCTACGGGCATCAAACCCGTTCGGATTTTGTAATGTGATTCTTGAACCCAACCCGCGTTGTTTGGATATCGGTTTTTTCGGATATTAGAAAGTCGGATAATTTCGGATATCGGTTCGGATATCGGTTAGTTCGGTTATAGTTAAAACACATTGAAATTGCATCATTAGTTCATTAATATGAACTGTCAAAGTAAATTAGACAATCCAAGCAACTAAATTGGAAATTACAACCAACTAAATTACTTAGCAATCCAAGCATAAACTAACTAAGTATTTAAATTACAAACCCAGCACCAAAATAACCAAGTATTTAGACAGTTATCAAAAAATATAAATTAGGCCATATTGGCTATTGCAAATCCAGCAGGCCAGCACCACTGCACCATAGTTTACAAAGCATATCAAATACTGCAAAACCAAGTCTTCTCAACTTTAAGCCTGCACATATGACATATCATCAATGAATAAATGCATAATCACAAATCACAATGCACAGAGTTATTACATATTGGTTCAGATTGCTTCTTTTCATTTCAAAACTAATTGGGGGCATCCAAAGTAGATGGTGGTAGGTTTCAAGCCATCTCATTATGTAAAGATACATTGGAGGCCAAATCCAAATTACCACCAACTACTCCTAATTCCAACCCAATCTTATTTCAGTATATGGTGGAAGCTTTCATCATAACCAAAACGGGGCAAATGAAGAACAGAAGAAGCAGTTAAGTTGTCAGGAAAAACAAAGGGGCAAATGAATAGCACCGGAAATTGAATAGGGGTTGTGGGCAGTGGAAGACATCCAACACCAACACTTCCAACACCTATGTTAGTCACCTTGGTAAATCATAAATGAGCAATAGAAACATTAAGTAATAAATAAGGATCCACAGAACTTCCACTATATGAGGAGACAATGAACTTGTAATAAATAAGTAAACCATTAAGTTAACTGGTGAAGGATCCACAGAAGATCCAGAAGCATTTTCAGTAGCAGCACATGTCCCATTTATTAAATCTGGAAAACATAAACACATCTTTTAAGGCATACTGAAAATAAATATACATCAAGCACATGTAAAAAATAAAATAACCTGTTTCCAGCTTCTCAAGTTCATCAATATTTTCTTCAATTGACAGAGGTTGGTTTTGTTTTCTCAACCAATCTTGACAACAAATCAAAGCTTCCACTATTTTAGGAGTCAATGAACTTCTAAAGCAATCTAAAACCCGACCACTAGTACTGAAAGTGGATTCAGAAGCAACTGTGGAGATGGGAACAGCAAGAATATCTCTAGCCATTTTTGAGAGTATAGGGAATCTTTGACTATTTAATTTCCACCATCTTAATATATCAAACTCTTTATCTTCCTCAACAATAGCCTCACTCAAATAAATTTCCAACTCAGTTTTTTTCAAGCCTAGTTGCCCACTCTCAAGTTTCTGTTTTTTTAGTTGTGCTTTGAATTTAGAGGCTGGTCTTGCAGTCTCAGACTCACAGATTACTAAAGCAGCAGGAGTTGAGTTTGATTCAGAGCTTCCACCAACACTATCTGTGTAATTACTCACATAATCTGAAAATAACTCAGCCAGAGCAAGTTTGATATTTGCAAAAAAGTTCTCACCCTTTTGTTGAGTATACAAAGCATTGAACTGAAAGGGCATGTATTCAAACTTGTCCCTAGGGTCTAGAACATTTGCAAAGAATATGAGATAGTTCATCTTTTCAGGATCTCCCCAATACTTATCAAGTTTGGATTTCATAGTACTTCCAATGGTACTTGTAGAAGGTCTATCTGACTTCATCAAGTCCTGAAGGACCATAAACAGATCAGACACCTCTGAGAAGAAAGTATTAGAAGTAACATAGAGAGAGCCTGAAATTCTGAGTGTCATATCATAAAAATTTTGAAGAACTATGACCAAAGACTCACAAGAAATCCAATCCATAGTATCTGGAGTGTCAACACCCAAATCAACTGCATAACTGGTTACATTCTCCTCATAAGCTTCAAAAACCTTTTCATTACATAAAGCTGACTTAAGCATTAGGTATGTGGAATTCCACCTAGTTGGAACATCAAGGTGTAGTCCACATTTAGCTTCCACCCCAATTAAGTCAGATATGTCCTTAAACTTTTGAAGCCTAGCAGGAGAATTCCTAACATACTTAACTGCTTCCCTAACCCTAGACAGAGAAGTGTCAGCTTGTTTTAAACCATCCTGAACTGCCAAGTTTAGAATGTGGGCAATACATCTCATGTGAAGATACTGGACTTTAACAGAAGAGGCCCCCCAAGATAATAGTTTTTTCTTGAAGAAGCCTACAGCTGTATCATTACTGCTTGCATTATCAACAGTAACAGTAAAGATATTTTTTAGCCCCCACTCTAAAAGGCAGTTCTCAAGAGCCTTAGCAAAGTACTCCCCTTTGTGAGAAGTAACCTGGACAAAGGAAATGATCTTTTTCTGAAGCTTTCACTGATGGTCTATGTAATGAGCAGTAATACACATGTAGTTGATCCTCTGTACAGAGGTCCATGTGTCAGTAGTAATACTTACCCTTTGTGTTGTCTCCCTAAATAACTTTTTCAAATTCATCTTCTCGTCCAAGTAGATTTGGTAAATGTCCCTTGCAATGGTCCACCTAGAAGGGATCTTAAATCTAGGGCAAGCTATGGACATAAACTTTTTAAAACCCTGCCTATCAACAAACCTAAAAGGAAGCTCATCAATTATAAGCATTTCTGCAAGAGCTCTTCTAATTGCAGTTTGGTCAAACACCCAAGTCCCTAAAACCCTAGCAGGTTCTTCAGTAGGACTTGATTGGAAGGTTAAGAGGGCTTGCCTAGTGTCCTTAGAATGAGTGTTCTTCAGACAACTGAGCATGTGATTTCTTATAGATGAGGTGCCATGTTTTTTTGAATGACAAGCATATAATCTTGCACAATATATGCATTTCCCTTTAACAAGAACTCCCTTTTCATCATAAATCTTGTCAAAGTGTTCCCATACTTTGGACCTGGGTGCAACCTGTTTCCTCTTTTGGCCAGAAACCTGGGTGCAAATATCAGTCTGTTGAGTGGTATCATTATTCTCTATAATGGGAGCTTCCACTGCAGGTTCCTGGCTTAGAGGAGGTTCACCGGATACAGGCATGGTAACACTATCTTGACCATCCATCTATATAAGTAAATAAGCAATTGCATACACATAGGTAGATTAGGCTTATGGCATTGAGCTTCCACATTTTTTTCATAATAGAGGCTTCAAATGTTTACCTTTCATATATGATATATCTTTCTCATATGCATACAGAAACACAAGGTAGTCAGGCTCCATCATCATTCACATATGCATAATCATATATTGGACAATAGGCATACAGCTTTAAGAATTCAGTACAAGCCTCAGTCCATCATCATTACATATGCATAATCATACATTAGGCATACAACTTTAAGAAATCAGAACAAGCCTCAGGCTCCATCATCATTCACATATGCATAATCATATATTAGGCAATAGGCATACAACTTTAAGAATTCAGAACAAGCCTCAGTCCATCACCATTACATATGCATAATCATACATTAGGCATACAACTTTAAGAATTCAGAACAAACCTCAGGCTCCATCATCATTCACATATGCATAATCATACAGTTTAGTACTCCGAATTCATATATAGGATACTTAGTCAGTGAGGAGCAAGGATTCATATTTCACCACAACTTAGAGACATCAACATATTATTAAGCATGAACACATCAACATCATCATAGATTCATAGTCACTCGTCAACATCATAGATTCAAATACAATCATCATAGGGTTTCAGCAAGAATCATTCATTTTATCCAACATTCAAATACAAATTCACAATAAAACCGTAGATATCAATACCTCAGAGTCAGAGACAATGCAATAGACTACAAACTTTGGAATGATCGAAGAACGATTTCCACCGATTAGGGTTTCAGCGAATCAGCAAGACTGTGTGCCTTTCTGTGTGAGAGCTTCCACCAAAATACCAAATAGAACTATAGAAGTAATTGAAGAAGGAAATCAAAGACCGAGAGAGGAGAGTAAGGGTTCAGACATAAGAGAGTTAGAGAGAGGATAGAGCGAAGAGCCGAAGAGTAGAAGACAGATCGAAGAGGCGGATAGGGTTACGCCGGGTAGAAAAGTTATACGTAGGTATATATATATAAAATCCAAAACGACGCCGTTTTGGTATGTCGTATTTTTTGGGCGGATCGGGTTAGGGTTTTATAAACCCTACCCGCAACCCGGTACCCGCCCAAACCCATACAATTTTTCGGATGTGGATAGTCGGATCGGATATCCATATCCATTCGGATAAAACCCAGAAAAAAAATCGGGTTTTTCGGGTCGGGTCGGTTTTTGCTCAGCCCTAATTGTTTGCATGTGCTATCTGCTGGGATCTTGCATCAGATCTGCGCGTTAAGTTTGGAGCGCAGCAATAAAAAAGCCCAAGATGGATATTTTATTCTCCAAATTTTAAATCCAAAGCTGCGGTGAGTCCAGTTTTGATTTCAAGTTTTTATTTTATTCTATTTTTCTTTTAACAAAAAAAAAATCAAAAAAAAATAAAAAAAAAAGAGTTAAAAAAATGTATTGTACCAGACAATTTGACAAAGGAGTAATATGCAATTACTGCAAGAAGCCCGGGCACTTCATCAAAGAATGTAGGAAATTGCTATTCAAGAATCAAGGAAATCAGCTTGGTTATGTTGCTTCCGCTACCATTTCATCTGATAGAGCAATTGCTATTTCTTCAGACGAGTATGCCAAATTTATTTCCTACCAAGAATTTCTAAAGCATATTAGTGCTGAATCAGAATATCGGGCTATGGCACAATCGGCATGTGAGATAATCTGGATAAACCATTTATTGAGTGAAATCGGATTGAAGACACCAATGCCTGCTAAACTCTGGTGTGACAACCAACCTTCTATATCTTCAATCCGATTTCACTCAATAAATGGTTTATCCAGATTATCTCACATGCCGATTGTGCAAAGAATTTCTAAAGCATTCATCTGTCCCTATCTCAGTAGTCGCTAATCTAGGTATTTCAAACACATGTCTTGTTTCCTCATCCTCGAAATGGGTCATTGGCTCAGGTGCCACAGATCATATGACTGGTAATCCTAATCTATTCTCATCATTTCATTCATATTTACCTACTTCTAGTGTCACTTTAGCTGATGGATCAACCTCACCTGTTCTTGGATCTGGTACTGTTGTCCCAACTTCTACACTACCATTATCACCTGTTCCGAGTCTTCCTAATTTTGCATTTAATCTGCTTTCCATCAGCAAAATCACGTGTACTTTTAATTGTTCTGTAACATTTTTTCCTGGATATTGTGTGTTTCAGGATCTGTTAACGAAGCAGACTATTGGTAAAGGACATGAGTCAGCTGGTCTTTATATTTTGGATACATCAATCACAAAATGTATCTCTTGTCTTGGGGTCGGGACTTTGTTAGAGGCTCATTACCGATTAGGACATCCATCTCTCCCATTAATGAAGCAAATAAATCCCCAATTCAATAAGATGACCTCTTTACAATGTGAGTCATGTCAATTTGCGAAACACCATCGTACTAGCTTAAGCCCTCGAGTTAATAAACGGGGCAATTCTCCATTTGACCTTGTTCACTCTGATGTTTGGGGTGCTTGCCCGGTTGTGTCTAAAGCTGGTTTTAAATATTTTGTTACCTTTGTTGATGACTATTCTCGTATGACATGGCTATATTTCATGAAACGTCGATCTGAGTTATTCACTCATTTTTCTTCCTTTTGTGCTGAAATTAAAACTCAGTTTAACGTTCATGTTCGGGTGTTAAGAGGAGACAATGCCCAAGAATATCTATCTGTTACATTTAAGTCATTTATGCTTCAGCATGGTATTATTCATCAAACTTCATGCGTTGACACATCTCCTCAAAATGGGGTTGCAGAACGAAAGAACCGACATCTGTTAGAAACTGCAAGGGCTCTTCTATTCCAAAAGAATGTGCCTAAACTGTTTTGGGCTGATGCCGTGTCTACTGCATGTTTTTTTATAAATCGTATGCCATCTTCTGTTTTGAATGGTAAAGCTCCTTATCATTGTCTATTTCCAAACAAAGAGCTCTTTCCTATCCCACCTAAAATATTTGGGTGCACTTGTTTTGTTAGAGATGTTAATCCTCGTCTTAGAAAGCTAGATCCCAAATCATTAAAATGTATTTACTTGGGTTATTCTCGAGTCCAAAAGGGGTATAGATGTTTTTGTCCGAGTACAGGTCGGTATCTTGTTTCTATTGATGCATCATTTCATGAAAATACACCTTTTTCATCATCTAAGGCAGATATTCATGAGAATAATGATGATATACTCATTTACACGATGACTATTCCCAAGTCCACACTTTCGACAAGTATTCCACAAGTTACTGTTCCTGACCTTAGGCCTCCTGTACACTTGGTATACACCTGTCGACACAAAGCACCTGATCACCCTCCACCGGCGACACATGTGATTATTTATCCTGATACTAGTCCGACTTCGATCTCATGTCCTGAACCAGTACCTGCATCATCAGATCTTGTTTCTACATCAGATCTTGACCTCCCAATAGCACTACGTAAAGGTACACGATCTTGTAATCATCCTATTTCTTCAATTGTGTCGTATAGTCAGTTATCCCCTGCCTCATGTTCTTTTATTGCTTCCATTGATTCTATTTATGTTCCCAAATCTATTAAAGAGGCTTTGTCTCATCCTGAATGGCATCATGCCATGATAGAGAAAATGAATGCTTTGGATCTTAATGGTACTTGGGATTTTGTAGACTTGCCTACAGGGAAAAAGTCTATTGGATGTAAGTGGGTCTTTGCTGTTAAGGTTAACCCAGACAGATCTGTTGTTCGGTTGAAAGCCCGATTAGTTGCGAAGGGTTATGCTCAAACCTATGGTGTCGATTATTCTGACACTTTTTCTCCAGTTGCTAAATTAACATCTGTCAGGTTACTTATTTCTCTCGCTGCAACTCATGGTTGGCACTTACATCAGTTGGACATTAAAAATGCATTCCTGCACGGTGATCTTGAGGAGGAAGTTTATATTGAGCAACCTCCGGGGTTTGTTGCTCAGGGGGAGTATGCAAAAGTTTGTCGACTTCGCAAGTCTCTTTATGGTTTGAAAAAGAGTCCCCATGCATGGTTCGGGAAATTCAGTCAATCAATTGAACGGTTTGGAATGATCAAAGGAAAATCGGATCACTCTGTATTTTATAGACAAACGAAAGCAGGTATCATATTGCTTGTGGTGTATGTTGATGATATTGTGATTACAAGGAGTGATAATGCAGGTATTTTGGCCCTTAAGAATTTTCTTCATAGTCAATTCCAGACGAAAGATTTGGGCTCATTGAAATACTTCTTGGGGATTGAGGTTACACGAAGTAAGAAAGGCATATTTATATCTCAACGTAAATATGTGCTTGACTTGCTAACTGAAACAGGGAAATTAGGGGCAAAACCGAGCAATACTCCCATGATTCCCAATGTGCAGCTCACTCATGAAGGCATGCCATTTGAAGATCCAGAAAGATATAGAAGGTTGGTTGGAAAGCTTAATTATCTCGCAGTTACCCGTCCAGATATTGCGTACTCAGTGAGTGTAGTAAGTCAATATATGTCATCTCCGACAGTTGATCATTGGAATGTTGTAGAGCATATATTATGTTACTTGAAGGGGACACCAGGACGAGGTATTGTTTATCAAAATCATAATCACATGAGAATAGAATGCTTTGCAGATGCTGATTGGGCTGGATCTAAAGATGATAGAAGATCCACATCTGGCTATTGCGTCTTTGTTGGTGGTAATATCCTTTCTTGGAAAAGTAAGAAGCAGAATATGGTTTATCGTTCGAGTGCTGAATCAGAATATCGGGCTATGGCACAATCGGCTTGTGAGATAATATGGATAAACCATTTATTGAGTGAAATCGGATTGAAGACACCAATGCCTGCTAAACTCTGGTGTGATAACCAAGCTGCTATACACATTGCCAACAACCCAGTGTTTCATGAGAGAACAAAACGTATTGAGGTTGATTGTCACTTTGTTCGAGAAAAAATACAACAAGGATTGATCTCAACAGGATATGTGAAAACTGGAGAGCAGCTTGGAGATTTGTTCATTAAAGCACTAAATGGAATTCATGTTGGTTATTTATGTAACAAGTTGGGCATGATAAATATCTATGCTCCAACTTGAGGGGGAGTGTGAAAGACATTAGAATAGAATATACTTTATAATATGCTTTAGAATATTCTTCTATCTTTAGAATATGCTTTAGAATATTTTAGGAATATACTCTAGGATTTTATTATTGTATAGAATCTTATAGGAATATTCTATCTTTGTAATGTATATATATATAGGGACTTAACCCTCCAATGAAATACACAGAAAATCCTTCTCTCCATTCTTAATATCATTGTAGTTTATATTTCAACATTTTAGTATTTGATTTTTATTCCAAAAATGCATGTTATGATAAGTGTGTTCCCATTATTCTCAAATTGTGTAATATAATTTAGTTAATATGCTCAAATTGATTTATGCATGAAATATGATTTGTTACTGTAGTTTCTTTAGTTACATGTAAGGAAAGTCTACGCATATGTAACTCGTGCTTACGCATATGATTTATGCTCAAATTGTGTAACTGTAGTTTCTTTAGTTTTGTATACATGTTTTGTATATGATTTGGAAATATAATTTGATTTAGTTTATAATATTGTTTTAATTTTAGAAATACATGTTAATATAATTCAGTTTTCGAAATACTTGTTTTGTGTACATGTTATTAAATTCATTTTTGTAAACATGTTATTAAACACATGTTTTTCGAAATACATGTTAATATAATTCAGTTTATTACATGTTCAATATGCTCAATATATATAACATGATTAGTTTGTATATATGTTTAATTGGCATGCCTATATTTGTTGTGTATAAGTTTAATTAATATGTATGCCTAAATAAGATTTAATTGTAGGTTAAAGAACATGCATGATTAAACTTTATTCTTGAATTTGGAAGTTTTTAGTACATTATATGCATCAATATTATTTTTGAATAGATATAGTTTCCATTATATTCTTGAATTAATTAAAGAAATACCCCCTCATGTTAAACTTCCAAAAAAGTTTAACATGTTACTTATAAAATATTAATTTAGACATTAAAAACAGTTTTCTCAAATTTAATATAAAATATAGACTCTGAAAAACACTGTTTAATAAATAAACTATTTTAACTGTTTTAATTAAAAAGTTTTCCCGAATTAATTAAAAAAATACTCCCTCATGTCAAACTTCCAAAAAAGTTTAACATGTTAATTTTTAAATATTGAGTTAGACATTAAAAACTGTTTTCTCAAATTTAATATAAAATATGGATTATAAAAAACACTGTTTAACAAATAAACCGTTTTAACTGTTTTAATTAAAAAGTTTTCACGAATTAATTAAAAAAATACCCCATGTCAAACTTCCAAAAAAGTTTAACATGTTAATTATAAAATATTGAGTTAGACATTAAAAATTGTTTTCTAAAATTTAATATTGAATATAAGATTATAAAAAAACAGTTATAATAAAAAAACAGTTTGTTAAACACTGTTTAATAAAAAACTGTTTTAACATTCTATTAACTATTTTAGAAAAACACTGTTTTTTGATTAACTGTTTTAATAAAAAAACTGCTTTTCTACAAAAAAAAACTGTTTTCTACAAAAAAAAACTATTTTTATATAAAACTTATACAAAACAGTTTTTATACAAAACAGTTTTTATACAAAACAGTTTTTATACAAAACTGTTTTTATACAAAAAAAACTGTTTTTATAAAAACTTATATAAAACTGTTTTTATAAAAAACTTATATAAAACTGTTTTTTATAAAATTTAAATAAGAAAATTTATTTAAGATTTCAACCAAAATTTGATCTTCTATTATATTTACACTTATTTGAAAATGTAAATTAATACTTCTCATTAATCAATTATTTTAGATGAGCAATGAACAATCAACCTTGCGTGCCCGCCCGAACTATGGGCCCTTAACCCAAGCCGAGCGCAACAACGAAAATTCGGAATGGGTGACACCTCACATGGTTGCTAAGTAAGTAATTATGAACTTTACTTAATGTCAAATAATTTTATGTAATGTCAAATAATCTAACCAAAACAGATATAAAAAATATCAATAATTTTTTGAAGCGATCAAGAAGTGTTGAACCAAATCAAAATCATAACTGGTGGACACTTTCTTAGCAACTGGGCTACGTACACGGATGTTGACCCCAAGGTCCGTGAACTTTGGTGGAACCTGTTCAAGGTCAAAAAATGAATTTTCCCTGTGTAATTGTACTGACTTAAAATTTGACAAATGATAAATTCGTTTTTTTAATAAAGGCTCAGTTTCGCTGGACTGAAGAACAAGACCCCGCTATTCTAAGGGCGTATAACGCCAGAGTTTCAAACTGGCTTCGTCCCACTTTTAAGCGTGCCCGAGCCAGTGGGGTAAGGCCTCAATGGTGTTCGGATGAGGTGTGGGAAAACCTCATCCGCCACTGGTCTTCGGATCCGACCTTCTTGGCTAGAAGCGAAGTCGGGAAGAAAAATCGGATGTCCGAGAAGGCATTAACGACACAATGGCACAGAGGCCGCAAACCTCAGAGTAAACATAAAGAAGCTCTTGTAAGTCTTATTCAAATAAACCTTATACCATTTTAACCCTTTATTTTTTTTACATTTATTTAAGCCTTTTTCGAACCTTGTAGGCGGGGCCTCAAAAGAAGAGGGTCTCTATCCTCAAGGTCATCAAACATTGTTGGACTCCGCACGGTGATGAGTCGGAAGCCGATCTGCCACCTCGCCTTGCTGAAATCGAAGTACGTAACATCAATTTTATTATTTCAAATCGAAGTAAATATCATTTCAATAATTTTTGGACATGCTCGTAGACGAAGTATAACGCAAATGTTGAGAAGAAACGGACGGAATTAGGCTTGACGTAGGAAGATGAGATCGATTCTGACGTGGAAGATGATGTGATCCTTGAGGCAGCTGGGGTGTACAAGGGTCAGCTTCCGTGCCTTGGTGCTGAGGGGCAACGTATTTTGTACGATCGCAGCGGCAGCGGAGCTTCATCATCTTCTCGATCAAGGCGGGGAGAGGATCATCCACGCATCGCCCAATTGCAACGAGAATTGGAGGAGGAGCAGCAGGCATTGGAACAGCAACGGAAGAATGATGAAGAAACAAGGGCCCGGCTGGAAGCAATAGAACGAATTGTTCCGGATATCAGCCTCCGCCTCAACCATACATGTTGCACGTTGAGCAGACTCCTCAGGTTCCGCAGATGGGTCATATGGGTTATCATTCTAACTCCGGATATGGTACCATTCCTACAATCGGGTCGACATTCGGATCTCTGTCGTCTGATTTTCTCGATCAATTTCAGTCATCCGATGGAGGCAGCCGAGGAAGCAACCGAGGAGGCAACTACATGACGGACAGGCGGACTCATCCGATTGGATAGTCTACTGTAAACTTTTTGACTAGAGTTCCTATATCCTACACCCGGGTGTACATGTACACCCGATTTTTTTTGTAAGTAGTAACATTAATTGTGTTTCCTTTTTCCACCGCATGCCATGCTCCACTCATGCGGTGATCCTTGTTTTTTATCAACGACGCTCATCTTGCTAGTTATGTACATTCTCCTTTATTTTCTTTTTTCATTTATTCTCATTTTTTGTTCTCTTTCTTAGCAACCTTCTACTTTAATGTTATATTCAATTAATATGAAAATGTATAATATAAAATATTATTAAATGTTTAAGTTTATTTTTTTTCTTTCTCCATTCAAACTACCTGCTTATGTTTTTTTATTTATGTATTATAAAATATTTTAGTTTTTAAATTTTTATTTCTCTACTATTAATTTAAGATGAATATTTATAAGTTTATTAAATATTGTGTGTTAATTACAAACGTCAATTTTGTGTTATACTAAAATGAACACAATATGTTAAATAAATTACTTTTATCTGATGTCAGACGAGGCTAGAATGGCAAAACTCAAACCCAGCCAAATAGACAAATAGGGTTGCAATTCAGGTTCAGCGGCAGAGGAAGGGGACTCGTAAGTTCGCACAGGTGAAAGGAGAAAAGTATGGATATAATGGCAGATCACAGTTTCACTTTATTCACCTGAGCACATTTCTGGAAAGTAACGAACACCTAGTTCAATACACACAATATCACAAAATGAAATTATGAATATTGATGGATTATAGATTCTAAATATGTTCTGACAAAACATGATATACAAATCTCAGCAAATCAATAAAAAAGATACTATACAACAACAACAACAACATCCAAGTCTTAGTCCCAAAAGATATTGGGGTCGGCTAACATGAATCGATACATGATATCACAACCAAAAGGAAAAGAAAGAATAAAGATAAAAAAGATAAGCTATTATAAAAAGATAATATAAAAAGAGAAGAATATACATAAAAATGATAAAATAAAAAGGCTACAAATAATGCTTATATATATATAAGGATAAAAAACAAGGAAAAAAAAGATGAGGGAAAAAGATTATACGAGATCACTCCTTCACGGAAAAAGATAATAAAAAAAGGTACTATGCAGTAAATAAAAAATGTATGACCACTGTTAACTTAAGAAGAAACTCAGTATTTGCCTGAGACAAGGTATGATCAGTGTTCTTTCTAAGTTGTAAATTAAACTAAAAGGGATTATTAACACATTGGATGGAAATAAATTCAGCTATATGAAAAAACATAACGATCTAACTAATACTTTATTTCGTGTAGCAACAAAAAATGCAACACACAATAACAAGGATTTCAACCGGCAGCTAAGCACAATAGCCGTTTAACAAAAAGTATTCATTCATTTAACCATATCAACACAAAACCCTACCTAATACGGTTACTAACTCTGTCAAAAACAACTTTACTAATTATTTTCATATTTGAATTTGATGTTAGTGCCTAAATAAACCTTTCTCTGTTGTTTAAAACAATATAGAGATTTTAATAAATAAACAAGCAACCTTTATCTCACAAAAAAGCAGCTCATTCGGGAATGGATGAAATACATACAACCTAATGCTTACATTAAAG